GGCCACTGGCCACTGCACTCCAGTCTGGGCGACAGAATGAGACTCCAACTCAAAAAAAAAAAATATTGGTTTTGGTTTTCAAGAAATTGTTGAGTAGAGAGGGGAAAGAGGAGTTGCTGCCTAATGGGTAGAGAGTTCAATAATGCAAGATGGAAACATTCCAGGATCTTCTATACAGCAGAGTACTTATAGTTAACAATACTGTACATCTAAAAATGTGTTAAGAGGGTAGTTCTTATGTGATTTCTTTTAAACCACAATTTTTTTTTTTTTGAGTTGGAGTCTCACTCTGTCACCCAGAGTGGAGTGCAGTGGCCGCTCCCGGTCACCGCAGCCTCGACCTGCTGGGCTCCAGCGACCCTTTCGCCTCAGCTTTCCAAGTGGCTGGAACTACAGGCGCGCACTACCACGTCTGTCTCATTTTGATTTATTGTAGAGATGAGGTCTCACCAAGTTGCCCAGGTGGGTCTCAAACCTGCGGGCTTAGGCAATCCACTCACCTCAGCCTCCCAAAGGCGCGGGATTACAGGCTGAGCCACCGAGCCCGGCTTAAACCACAATTTTTTAAAAAGGTATGGAGTAAAAAAAAAACAAGTTAACTCTTTAGTTTTTATTTATTGTATACTTAAAATTTTTATTTTAAAAAGTGAGTTAAGATATATATATTTTTTGAGTTGGAGTCTCACTCATGTTGCCCAGGCTGGAGTGCAGTGGTACACTCACGGCCACTTTAGCCTCCACCTGCTGGACTTAGGCGATCATTCTGCCTCAACCTTCCAAGTAGCTGGAACTACAGATGCACGCCACCACGTCTGTCTAGTTTTTGTGATTTATTGTAGAGACAAGGTCTCATCAAGTTTCCCAGACTGGTCTTGAACCCGTGGACTCAGGCAATTCTCTTGTCTCAGCCTCCCAAAGTTCTGGGTGTGGTGGCTCACACCTGTAATCCCAGCACTTTGGGAGGCTGAGGTGGGAGGACTGCTGGAGCCCAGGAGTTTGAGACCAGCCTGGGCAACACAGCAAGACCCCATCTCTATTAAAAAAAAAAGTATGTGCGTGTGTGTGTGTGTGTGTGTGTGTGTGTGTGTGTGTGTATGTGTGTGTGTGTGTGTATGAAAGAAATGTAATAATGTTCTCTGCCAATTCTGCCATTTAACATTTAATTTAATATAATGTATCTTTCTAAAGATTATTTCTTATGTAAGTCAAGATTTTAGTGCTAAAAATCTATGGCTGCTACTCAGAGGTGATTGTTCACGAGGATTTTAGTTTTCAAAAATGTTCAAAAGTTGAGATATTATGTAATTAAACAAAACATTTTTGCCTTGGATTTCTGCTTTGCAATTTCTTCCTAGACTGCAAGTTCTCTAATGATTGCTTTAACAGTTAATAAATTGGGATGCCTGCCTTTTTTTTTAAAGGTAGGATCTCGTTCTGTCACCCAGGCTGAAGTGCAGTGGTGCAATCCTAGCTCACTGCTGTTTTAACTCCTGGGCTCAAGAGAGCTTCCCACCTCAGCTTTCTGAGTGTCTAAGACTACAGGTACACCACCACACCTGGCTACTTTTTATTTTTTGAAGAGACAGAATCTCACTATGTTGCCCTGGTCTTAAACTCCTGGCCTCAAGTGATTCTCCTGTCTTGTCTTCCTAACGTGTTGGGATTACATGCATGAGCCATTGCACCTGACCTGGTTTGGCTGCTTTAACAGAGGCTAAATAATAGTGGCTTAAGCAAAATAGAAGCTTTTTCTCTCCTACAGAAAAGTCTAAGCTGATAGGCAATTTGGGGGCGAGGGGGCAGAGGGCAGTTCTGCTCTACAGGGTTATCTGGGGACCCAGGCACATCCTATCTTGTCGTCCTGCTGTCTAGGGTATTTCTTTCTTCACCTGGTTGTAGACAGCACAAGGAAGTGGTGGGCAAGAGCTGCCTGCTATCCTATGAGTCAACAAACTTTTTCTGTAAAGGGTTGAATGATAAAATATTTAGGTGTTATAGGTCACATATGCTCTCTGTTGCATATTTATTTATTGTTTGTTTACAACCCTTTAAAAATATGAAAAGTATTATTATCTTACAGGCCTCACAAAACAGGCCCTGACTATATCTGTCCCATATGTGATTATTTTGCCATCCTCTATTTTAAGGGTGTGACTTAGAAATTGCACACTTTCTCATCTGTAAAGTAGGGTTAATAGGACTGTCTAGTTCAGAAGGTTTTTATGAGGATTAAAATGAGATGACATATTCAAATAGTGCCTGGCACAAAGCAAATACTCACAAATGGTAACTCTTTCTGTTCTATAATTTATATATATTTTTCCAATAAAAGAGAACTTGCACATTTTTCATTTACCTCTTGATTTTTGACATGGTTTCTGACATTTATATCTATAATTACCACAGTTGTTTAGTAGAGCATTATATTTAAATCAGTGGTTTCTGGTTTTCTAATTTCTTTAAAAATATGTTTAAATTATTTAAAAAATTTGTTTGTTTTGGTAATGCAACCTGTTGGCTAGATTGCATTATTAGTGGGTTTTTTATTTTTTATTTTTTTGAGTCAGAGTCTCATTCTGTCACCCAGGCTGGAGTGCAGTGGCACGTTCTGGCCACTGCAGCCTCAACCTGCTGGGCTCAGGCAATCCTTCTGCCTCAGCCTTCCAAGTAACTGGAACCACAGGTATGCGCCACCACACCAGACTAATTTTTGATTTATTGTGGAGACAAGGTCTAGCCAGGTTGTCCAGGCTGGTCTCAAACCCCTGGGCTCAGGCAGTCCTCTCACCTCAGCCTCCCAAAGTTCTTGGATTATAGGCATGAGCTACCATGCCCAGTATTAGTGGGTTTTTAAGAAAGATATTATATCCCAAGTTTTTGCATGTGTGAAAATGCCTGAGCAGGTTTTAACATCTAGAGCAGGGTATAAATAATAGTTTTTTAGTATAATTTCCTCTGGTCTGCCTACATTGTCCTTTTCTGTATTTTTGGTTATTTTATTTTTTGTTGCCTTTAATTGGATATTTAATCTCTAATATTTCTTGTTTTTTCTCCCTCCATTTCTTTCTGATACTTTACCAGCTTGCTTTTCATCTCTTCTGTTGTCTTGTAATTCTTTTTTTTTTTTTGGTTGGAGTCTCACTTTGTCATCCAAGCTGGCACATGCTCACCACATCCTCGATTTGCTAGGCTCAGGCAATCCTTCTACCTCAGCCCTTCAAGTAGCTAGAACTACAGGTGCATGCCACCACAGCCTGGATAATTTTTTGATTTATTGTAGAGACAAGGTCTCACCAAGTTGCCCAGTTTGATCTTGAACTCCTCTCGCCTCCACCTCCCAAAGTGCTGGGATTACAGGCATGAGCCTCCACGACTGGCCTTGAGTTCTTTTTAAAGAAAGCTGATGTCTATGAGATTAAACTATATGCATAAAGTCCATGAGATTAATACAAAATGATTTGTCTTTATCTCTTCTACTTCCTTTGTTTAATTTCTTTTGTGGTGTGTTTTTTCTGCCTGCCTTCTGCTTACTGTTCCCCCTTTTTGATTATACGCCCCCCACCACCCCACCTTCCTTCACAATGTGTGTCTATGTAGGGTCTATGCTGGCCTTTCTGGTCATCCACCCATCCATGTGCTTGAATGGCTCCATTATCAGGAGAGGAAGGTAGTGGAGGAAGGCAAAAGCATTGATTTGGATTTCTTGTCTTAAATGCTTGTCACCTTTGCCCTGGCGGCACATCCCTGTGTTTGTTTTCAAGGGGTCATTTGTGACTCCTTACAAAGTGTATTTTGTCAGAGGGTTAATAATACTCCCTCTGACACACTCTCCCCAGTCTGCCTCACCAGGAGGGTGACCAAGAACAACACAAAGTGCCCTTCAGAACATGGGCCTCTCTACTATGCTGAACTGGCTGTCACTCAGCAGGGCGTTCCCCACTTTTCCCGCGGCCTGCAGGGGCCCACCATGGCCCCAGACCTCATCACTTTAAGGAAAAGTTTACAGCCTTTTGCTTCTGTGACACAGATAATCAGGGGTTTCTTTTTCCTGCTGCAGTGTAAGTGGCTATGTGCAGCTTTCTTCTTTTGGTCCATCTGACTCTGTGCTTTTGAATGATATGGTTCAGAAGTGCTTTTCACCTATATTGTGTGCAGAGCCTAACAATTTGGTCAAATATCCAAATTCTCAAGGGTGTAACCCGTGTCTGTTTCTCTCTGTCTCTGATGACTTTTTGTTGAAATGCCTTTTTTGTTTCTTTATTCCTTTAAAAAAGTCATAGTCTCTCATATGTGCACTCTTCCAACTTTCAGAAAAGCAAGAGGAAAGGGCATGAATATACAAATATTAAGTATTCTTTAGCGGACCAGACAAGTGGAGATCAGAGTCCCCTCCCACCTTGTACTCCAACGCCACCCTGTGCAGAGTAAGTAAAGATGAAGGAAAATCTTTGTATCTGAATATTGTGCTATAAAAAGGTGTAAACAACAAGTCTGTGTAGTGCATACCTTTTACCGGTGTACATTATTGCTGTCCAGTGATTAGTGTATCAGTGACTAGCAATTTCTATGGATTGTATTGATGCTATCCACACTAAATTTTAATTTTCCCAAACTGATGACTGATTGCTATGCTAGCTAAATTTTTTCTTTCTCTTCTTCTTTTCTTTTTATTCTTTCCTTTTCTCTTCTTTCTCTTCTTCTTCTCCTTTTTTGTTTGTTTATTTATTTATTTTAAAGATGTGGGGTACAATTCAGGATTACGTATGCAAATGGTCATTGTACAGGTAAATTTTGGACTGACTTTGGTCCCCATTTTGCCTTTTTTGAGAGCAGGTACCCTAATTGATGAAGTGTGCCCCCCTGCTGACTAAAATTATATGAGATTATAAGTATACCAAGTGGTGGTTCTTCAAGAATCTTTATGGGGTGGGGTTTGTTGCAGAGAAAGGTCACATCTTTTATGATGTGCTAAGACTTTGCAAAATACAAGTAAATAAATTGACCATTAATGTGTCAGCACAACCATGATATGCTAATTTTCTATCAGTCAACAGAAATCTACTTTGGGTGGTTAAACCAGGGGTCAGTAAACTATAGCCCGTAGGCCAAATCTAGCCCATGGTCTATTATTGTATAACTAACCCATGAATGGTTTTTAAAGGATAGTAAAACAACAACAACAAAAAACCCAACAACAAAACAAAATCCAAAGAATAATATTTGGCAGAGACCACGTATGGTGTGCGGAGCCTAAAATGCTCTCTTTTCCTTCCCAGAAAAACTTTGCTAACTCCTTGTTTAAACTAAAACATGATAGGAAAACATTTGTTAAGTTGATCATGTGAACAGCAATTATAGTTATTATTTTTCTATATATTCTAAAGTTACTCTCTAGTATAACATTTGCTTTGTATTTTCCCATAATAATCTTCTCTCTATTTGCCTCTGTGTGGATTTTTAAACTCCTGCTGATTTTAATATTCTATATAAATGTTTAGGTAGAATGTACGAAGTGTATATTCACATTTGCTCTCTATTTAGCATTGAAATTAAGTTATATAGCAGGAGTTGTCTCTCCTCTGAACTGTTTCTTCTTTCTGTCTACTTTTTTTCTCTCCGGGGGACTGACTGGGAGAATTGATATTTTAAATTGCGATCCGCAATAATTTGCAGTGGAATCAGAATGTCAGGGCTCTGAGTTCCTGCCAGAAGCTTTCCCCTTGCATTGACATGACAGAATCAGCGCTCACGAGTCCCTTAGTGCCTGTGGCATGCCTGTGGCTGACAGACTCTCTGTCTCTCCTTTCTGTCGTCCCCTCGTAGGGTTTAGACCCAGGATTCCCTGGCCCCAGAGCCCCTTTTAGGCTGGCACCCTTGGCTGCCGAGTTCCTCATCCTCCTGGACTGCTCTAATCTTCCCTCTCTGCTCAGCAGAAAGGAACCTGAGCTCTTTGATGCTTTGGTCTCCATGCTGAGGCCCTAAAAACCCCGTTCCTTTTCACTGGTAACTTTAGCTGAGGCTGCGTGATCTCTAATCACTGTCTGACAGCTCCTGTGCCGCCCTTCTTGGTTGGAGCTTTTGCCTGTTCAGATCCCGCTACTGGAAATTAGTAGAATTTCTTTTATTTATTTATTTATTTTGAGGCTGGGTCTCATTCTGTTGTCTAGGCTGGAGTGCAGTGGCACGATCATGGCTCACTGTAGCCTCAACTTCCTGGGCTCAAGCATTTCTTCTGCCTCAGTCTCCCAAGTAGCTGGAAGTACAGGAACACACCACCACGCCTGACTAATCTTTTAATTTTTAAATTTTCTCTATGAATGAGTTCTTACTGTGTTGCCCAGGCTGGTCTTGAACTCCTGGCCTCAAGCATTCCTCCTGCCTTGGACTCTCAAAATTCTGGAATTATAGGCATGAACCACAATGCCTGGCCACAATTTCTTTCTATATGTGCATGTTCCACTCTCCTTCATGGAGTACTTCAGATGCCTTATCCTATAGGCCTCCCTAAAATAACCTGCTTTCCTCCAAAGCCCAGAGAACAACCTGGACTTGAGGCTCTTATTTTGCTTTTAACTTAGTAACAATATTGCAAAGTGTCAGCTCCTGGGCTCACAGGAACTGTGTCTGCACATATTTGGTGCCCAAAGAATGTAGTGTGTCCTTTGTAAATATCGTGTAAACTTCAACAAGCACAGTCTGCATTTTTGTAAATGTCCTCCTTTTTCTTTTCTTTTCAGAATGAGAGAAGATAATGCTAGAGTCTATGAGAATGTGGGTCTGATGCAGCAGCAGAAGAGTTTCAGATGAGGAGACCTGCCAGAACTTCAGCACAGAAACAGGTATTGAAATGCAAATACTCTATCGGTTAATTGTTTATATAATTTATATAATTTGTGGCATGTTTAAGCAGGCAAATAATTTGTGACTATCTCAGCAAAGTGTACCACAATTGAGTTTTACAAACCAGACTTCGTCTTCCTCTCCCTGTACTTTTTCCAAGGTGGATTTAGTTTAGAGTTCATTAAACATTAAAATTAAATACAGAATGAATTCTGCAAGGACCAGACTAGCACTTATTCCAGAGAAATGGTTGCTATTGATGAAAAGGAGCTAGCTCTGTTCCTACAGTTCTTATTAGAGTTGGTTAACCCATGTTGTGCTGGAGATGATCTGGGAGGGATCTGGGAAGCATCGGGACATAGCCCGGATGGCTGGGAGTCAGGAAATCTCTGACCAGCTGTATGACATGAGCTGCTCGGTACCCATAACTGGGCCCCTTCACATCCCTCCAGCTCTGCTGGGCATTCTTTTCTCTTGTGTATCTCTTCCCTGTTAATTACCCTTGTAGACTGTGACTTGAGTGTGTGATGCATGTTTTAATGGTAAACCAGAAGCTTACAGTGTCGGTATTTCATGTTGAAATCCCGATTTCCATGGGTAGTATATCCTAAAAGCTTTAAATGTACTTTAAAATCGTTCAGTGCTTTGTCTAGCTTTCATATGTGTACTCCTTAACAATTCTAACTTATTTCTTCCCCAGATGTGGACTTTCACCCTTTCCCTAAAAAAGTTCAAGAACAGATGCAAGAAAGTCTATGTGAAGAATGAATTTGGATCTGGAAGGCTTGCATTGTGGCTGACTACCTTTTGATAAGCAAAATTTGAAACCATTTTAAGACCATTGTATTTTAACTCAACAGCACCTGATTTCCAGTTCCTTATTTCCTCAGACAAGAAGAAATCATTTCTACAATGTAGACAATGTTATATTTTATAGCATTCTGTTTTAAATTGAGGAAGTAGTTAAATTGTGCTCTATATTTTACAGATTGTGGGAATTCAAATTCTAGTTATGGGCATTTTTTTAATAACCTTAATTTAATTTTTTTTCTCTTTGAAGGGGATGATAGGGCACTTGTAAGAAGAAATGATTGGAAAAATTAAGTAACAACATCCTAGAGAAGTGAGAACAATCTCATTTACCATCGCTTATCCAGTGGTTGGATGACTCATTGTGGTGGCTTTTTTTTTTTTTTTTTTGGCTAAATAATAATTGAGCCAGTACCTGAGACTGTCAGAAGTGGACTGTCTACCTTTGCATTGCCATTACAAAGTCATGGGAAGACAAATCATGGAAATATAGAAATTAGGATAAGAGGTGTGTTTTTTCTTAGCAGATGACCAATTACCATTCAGCTGTTGACTGAGAAGGTTGCGGTGGGAAAACATTTGCCCTATTTTCTTTGCATCTGAGTAACGGTCTTGAATTTAGAAAAATAGGCATCTGTGTGACCCATGATTTTGGTTGTCGAATGTTGCTGACAAACCATCCAAAAGTGTTAGTGGCTTAAAACAACCCCACCCCACCCCCAACTGTCCTTCAATCTGAGCCAAGCTCAGTTGACCTGTTCTGCTGGTCTTACAGGTGGTCACTCATGGTCAGCAGGTTGGAGGAAATACTGGGCTGACTGGGCTTCTCTCTCTGCATGCTGCCCTCAGGTCTTTCCTCTTTGAGTGTGATCTCTTTGAGTGTCCTCACTAGTGAGGTAGCTAGACTTCTTAAGTGCAACTCAGAGCTCCCAAGAGCTTGAAAGCAGAAGTGGCCAGGCATTCTTAAGACTTAAGTCCAGAACCGTGGCACACTCCTTCCATAGCCCTCGATTGATTAATCAAGTCACAAGCCCAGCCAGATTCAAGAAGAGGGCCTGAAGTAGAGGTGCAGTTCATGGGGGGGGGTCACCCATCTAAAAGCCCGTCATGACGAGTGCCATGGAAAACCATCTGGATTAGCAAGAGTAGAAGATGCTAGTGACCTGGGGAAGCAGAAACTGCTTACAGTAAGCTGGTGTAAGCTGAAGGTCAGACTGAGAGAGAAAGAGACAGCTTTCAAGAAGCTTTCTGAGCCAGTTCTGCCAGCTCTGAGCATATTTTCTGAGCCAGCACTTGGGAAAACTGGTCTTGTAAAGATGGATGTATTTGGGGGACAGAGCTTTTGAGAGCAGAACCACCCCATTGAGGTACCTACAGACTGTGGGAAATGTAATACTTTCTTATTGCTGTTGGTTTTTAGTCAGACCACAGTGAGAAGGAGCAGTTCTACTAGGCCTCCAGCCAGATTGAATTAGCTCATTTTTGTTTTAGCCAAGCAGTAAGGTTTGCTAATGTTCTACCTTAAGTGCCTTCTCCAAAGATATCCCTCTTTGCCTCATGTTGGATCATCATTCAATGATTATATTTCAATGAAAATATCATCGGTTGACTTTTGTAATGATAATGAAATGCTCCGGCAACTTTGCCATGAAGTCATGGACTCCTTGAATTCTTCTGGCTTTGAGTCCTGAAGGGAAGGCCTAGATCTGGCCCTGGTGGTAGTTCCTTTCGGAGGTCTTTAAATCCCTTGAAACCCTGAGATAGTTTGGGAGCTCAGTGGCTATCCTTTTCACAGACCCCTCCCTCACCCACCACCCACCCCAATATCCATTGAACTTAGAATTGCTTCAGAACACAGGTGTGGCCAAAGGCATCACCTTACTAGGGAAATGTTGCGACTACTGTTTTAGTGGCAAGTCTGTAGAGAAAGAGATTCCACTTCAGTATTTGCAACAAGGATCTTGAATCCTGTTCTCTTTATTACATTGTCACATTGACTCTTTTTCCATTTTGCTTCAATTTTGTAGTAATGTCTTGACTTTGGGGGCAAAATCTTTCACCAGCATAAAAGGGTTTGATTGTACAAATATATCTGCTGCATTAACGTCTTTGCCTGTAGCCAGAGATCAGTTGTTTTTGCACTTAAAATGGAAATACCTGATATTGGCTAGCTTTGTTTGTTTCAGGACATTGATTTCATTTAGATTTCCCTCCAGGAGGTCAGCAAGTGATCATGTTGTTATGCAAACTTCTGCCAAGATAAGATTTGTAACAGTCCCTAGGTTGCTAAGATTTGTTGTATGATTGGTAAAAAATGATGGCAACCGGGCTAGGTGGCTCAGCCTGTAATCCCGCGCCTTTGGGAGGCTGAGGTGAGTGAATTGCCTGAGCCCGCGGGTTCGAGACCCGCCTGGACAACTTGGCAAGACCTCATCTCTACAATAAAAATAAAAAAATTAGCCAGGCATGGTAGCACGCACCTGTAGTTCCAGCTACTTGGAAGGCTGAGGCGGAAGGATTGCTGGAGCCCAGCAGGTCGAGGTTGCAGTGGCTGGGAGTGGCCACTGCACTCTAGTCTGGGTGACAGAGTGAGACTCCAACTCAAAAAAAAAAAAAAAGATGATGGTAAGTTTTCAGATGCGGTTACTTCACATGGGATGGATCAGGCAGAGGGGCTGGGAGGATGCGGGGAGCTTGAGGTTTTAAAAAAATAGTGGAAATGAAAGTTCCAAAGAGGTGGTTTCTGAGGAAGTCAGAAGGCCCAGGGCCAGAGCAGCAATGGGTGAATCAGGTTATCTGAAAAATAGATATGAAAGATACATGTATGCAGTCTACTTCTGGGTTGCTGGTAGACATTAAATATGCACAGTATTCCATAGCTGGCTGGGTACTTTAAAATTATAAGTGTAGGATTTTATATTTGGGGTGAAAACATTATCTGGCATGTGACACTGGGTATTTTTTTAAAAAGCCAAACTTCAGAGTCTTAACTTTTTAAGAAAATTCAAAGGCACCTCATGTCCAGTGTGTGGTAGCCCTCTGAGACTCATGGTTCTCTCTCCCATCGAAATCAGTGACTTTGCCAGTGTGGCTAACTGGGGGTGAGGAAATACAGGCAGGACTTTCTCGGTGTCTATGCATTCTTCACAGAGGCCAGTTGCTTTGGGGAACAGCTGAGAACATGGTCAAGATTCTTTTTAGGGGTCGTTTTACTGGGGATTTTAAGAACGAATATAACATCTTGGGTTATTTCTAGTTCAGGGGAATGTGGAAAGGTCTGCAATTGTGAAGTGTTTTGTTGTAGTTTAGTATCCATAAGGGAAGCTTAGACTGTAGACATAAATACAAACCCAGTGCAGTTTTTGTTTTCTGTTTGTTGTTGGGGGAATAAAGTTTTATATATAGCAAGCACATGGCCTCTCTGATTTCAAGATGCCTTTCTTAGGATCTGTATTAGCCCTTAATTTTGTTGAAATCTTTTTCCTTCTTCCTCTTGAAAAGTAAGTTCCGAAATATAGTTTATTGTATCTTCTAGCACTAAAAAGTTTGTTCCTTTTTCACCACGGGCAGTTCACACAAGGCAAAAATATTAAACAGTTGGTTTTAGTGTGTTGTATTACTTTGCTGTATATCAAACTAATTTTTACAAGTTTTCATCCTAAACCTCAAATCATGTAATTAATAATTTGCCTGTTTATTTATGTCCTAATTGTGATTCTTTTATTAATAAAAGCTAATGGAAAGGATCCTTTATTAAGCTGATGACTAGACCTACAATTAATTTTCCTGCAGTATATGAAGTATTGTACCAGAGTATTAAAAGATATGTAATATTTTATTGATAAATCTATCCTTTAAAAGGAATACATTTTAGGATGTCATCATTTTGATGTGAATCATGTAAATGTTGATAATATGCTGTTTATTACACATTCAGTGTTTCAAGAGAGTCACTTAATTGCCTTTTTGCCCACATATATTATGTAGTCTATTTGCAATTGTTTAAAAAAATATGACATTAAAAGGATAGTTTATGTAGAGAAACATTAGTGGATGTTAATTGTCTCTCACCTGTATTTATGGGTGTTAGTTCAGCTGCTTTGCTAGTTGCAAAGCTGTATTATCAGAGTAAAAGTGTATTTGTAAGCTGTATGGGAACTAAAAATTAGGAATAAAACCATTTTCTTATATTATGGAATCTGTCATTGGATCATCAGAACATTCAGGAAAAAGTGGAATTATAGGTCACTCAACCTCTCACGCTGGCAAAATGTCAACACTTAGCAGCTCTTATCTAGAAGGTGACCTGGAATACAGAAGAAATGAGCCAGTTCCTCAGGAATTCACTGAGTGCCTACTCCAGGACTAGCTTTAGGAAAGCGTTTCCCAATCTTCTGGGCTTCAGGGACCGGTTTTGTGGAAGACAATTTTTTCATGGACTGCGGGGCAGGGCGGGGGTGGTGAGGGTGGGGGTTTAGGGATGATTCAAGCACACTATATTTATCGTGCACTTTATTTCTAATATTATTATGTTGTAATAGATAATGAGATAATTCTACAGCTCACTATAATGCAGAATCAGTGGTAGCCCTGAGCTTGTTTCCCTGCAACTTGACAGTTCCATCTGGGTAATGGGTGACAATGACACCTGAAATGTGTTGCTTATGTCCCATCTACTCTGTAATTTCATTTTGGTTGATGTCACTGCAGAAAACTCTGCTTCACAAAGATAGGAAGTTGGGCATGAAAGCATGCTTTTCAGTGCTTTTGGGGGCAGTATCAAGATATTCTGCCTTGACTCTAATCCTGAACATATGGAGATTTGAAGCTGTCTCAGACATATTCTTAAGGCACTGTCATTTGTGATCTCAAGTGGTTGATCCTTTTCTAGCATGGACAAAGTCGGTTCACTGGGCTTATTCACAAATGAGTTGCAGATCCATTCCTTCCCAGTTTGGGGCTCTTTTGTGGTTGGGAAGTAACTTTCAACTTTTTGAAAGTTGAAATAGGTGATTAAGCACCAGGTGGGAGAAAGAATGCCCTGATTCAGTCTCTTTCAAAATCTCTGCTAATGTTTGAAATATGTCAAAAGTTCCATTGTTCATTGCTCCCATAAGTCCAGTTTGGCTTTGAATGCAGCCACTTTATCTGCTGACTTGAATGCAGTTGTTTTTCCCAAAGTGATAGATTGAGTTATTTGAGCAAGTTGAACACGTCACACAAGTAAGCAAGTTTTGCGACCCATTCTGTGCCTGAAATATGCTGCCGGTGATGACTGCTTTTCTAAAAGAATTCTCTGGAGTGGTTCTTGTAACTCAAAAACTCTGACCAGTGATCTATCTTTAGAAAGCCTTCTCACTGCTGTGTATAAGAGAAGATGTGTGTGT